TAGGTATTTAATTTATTAATAACAAATAATTTTAAATTTTAAGTTAATATTTTAAATTGTCAAAAATCCTATACAAATTAAATATTAAGTTCAAAGTAGTGGGTTTAGTTTTTCAAAGAAAAACAAAATGATCAATTTCCTTAATAATAATAATTGCTGGCAAGTTTAGAAGCCTGTCATATAGATATCTAATTTGTCAGCTGGATACCAGAATTAGAACACAAATGATAATTTAACTTGATTTTACTTACTTCACTAAATTAGTTTTGTTTTCAATTCACGAAGTTAATAGATAAGTCAAAAAGGTAGATAACAATTTTAGAGTGGATTTAATTATCTACTAAATTGTTCTAACAATGTTGCAAAAAGTTATGTAATTTTAAATTAAATGGATTAAAAAATTAAAGAAATAATTTACCAAGCCAAAAATTAGCGAAAGAAACTTTAATAAATTATCTTACTTATTATTATCCATAACAATATTAATATCTTTATTTATCCAGGAAAAAAACCCTAATAAACATGGTAGTGTTTCCAAGAAATTGAAACGATGAAGAAATGTTTGTATTAATGGACAGTAAAACTGAAGGAAATACCAAATTAATCGTTTATCCGACGGCAACTTTTTATTATAATTAGCTCTATTTAGATTTTTTTAATTGTTCCTTAGCAAGTAGGTAATTAATGACATTTTTCGTAATTACAGATTTAAACTTCCTCATTAACTTAAATGCTTCTTGAACGTGGTGTTTTTAATTAAGTTTTTTAATCGATTCTTGAAAAGTTAATGAAAAAATAAGCAAGCCTTCTTTTGTTTTCTTTGCTTTTTTGTGAAGTTTTTAAGAGATCAAATTTGTTGATTTTTTAATAGGTTTTCTAAATTTAATTAATTGGGGAACAATTTAAGTAATAATAATAAAAACATTTTTATTAAAAAGTAATATATTAACAGCTTTACCTACAATTGTACTTGACACATTTAGTTTATCAATTTATCTTTTACGTATAATAGTATTTTGCGTAATAAAATAGATAAAAGGTAAACTCTTAATCAGGGTATTTTTTTCTGTTAAAACAAGAAAGCCAAGTCTCAGGTTTACATGATTTTTAGTTAGAGATGCGACTTGAAAAAAATGGTCTGTTTTTCTCATTGTTTTTTTTTCAAATGTTTTTTTTTCATATTTTAGGTTTTTTTTCAAGATTAGTCCCATTTGCCTAATTTTTTATGTTTTCAGTCCAATTCATGGACTAAAATTAGCCACTAAATGACATTTAGTAAATGTAAATACAGTACAGTCTCGCGCTTTGCACGCGCCACCACCACCGAATTGACCAATAAGGGCCGCCCTTGTTTTGATTTGGTCCTAAAAAAAGTAACTACCTATAATATTTTTGATTCAGCGCTTGATTTTTCAAAAAGCTACCAAAAGCACTTTTTTCATGATTTTTCAAATTCAGTATGGAATTTTTTTTTAAAAAAACAATAGCAAATTCTTAGCAAACAATAGCAAATTCTTGTAGAACATTTATTCATTGATGGTTAAGTCAGAACATTCCGTGGACCAAAAAAAAAGCCGAAAAAATTTCGATTTTTTTTTATTACAGTATTCGTTAGGTACGAAGGCGTAGAAGGGCCAACAAAAATTTTACAAATATTAGCCAAAACTAACTTTTATTTTTGCAATTTCTATTCTATAATTGTAACTTGAACCTACAATTGTAACTTGAACTTACAATTGTAACTTCAACCTACAATTGTAACTTGAACTTACAATTTTAACTTGAACCTTAGACTGGGCCAAAAAAATTTTTTTTTTGAAAAGTATATATATTAAGAGGTCTATCATCGCAATTTTAATTTTTTCCTCAGCAAGTTTTTGTCTCAGAACTCCCAAACCATTGAGTTTAACAAAATTGGCTCGAAAATATTATTTTAAGAAAATTAAATGCTCTACAAAAAAGGTTAAAGTGAAATTTTCCGTCAGATGGACCGTTTCCTGAAAATCATGCCTTAAAAATTGGTATACTTTTACATTTTGATCTTTTAAATTGGAATTTTGTAATTCATGTAAAAATCAGTACCCATAAAAAACCGATAAATATTCTTATGGGAAATCAAATGCTTTACAAACACACTCAATCAAAAGTTATTCAAGGTTAAAATTTAGTTTTGACTTCAAATTTACTCTTGAATAACTTTTGATTGAGTGAATTTAGCCATATTTATATTATAATATTTATCTTTTTTTTTTCAGGGTACTGATTTTTACATTAATTAATTACAATATTCCAGTGGCGGCTCGTGAATTTTATGTATTCCAATATCTCAGTTATTAGACATGGGACCCACACCAAATTTATAATAGTTTATTATTATAAATTTGGTGTGGGTCCCATGTCTAATAACTGAAATATTGGTATAGGTACCCAAAATCCACCAGCCGCCACTGCAATATTTCAAAGTTAAAAGATCAAATTGTAAAACTAAACCAATTTTTAAGGCATGTTTGTAAGAAAACGGTTCATCTGACGGGAAATTCCAATCAAACCTTTTTTGTAGAACATTCAATTTTCTTCAAAAAATATTCTTAAGTTAATTTTGTTAAACTCAATGATTTGGGAGTTCTGAGACAAAGACTCGCTCAGGAAAAAAAATCTTAATATTAATAATAATATGGACTCAAACTTTCACAATAATTTTTTTTGTTACCCCAAACCATATTTTCGATATACTTTAAAAAAAAAAATAGTTGATTTTTTTGGCCCAGTCTATTGAACCTACAATTGTAACTTGAACTTACAATTGTAGGTTCAAGTTACAATTGTAGGTTCAAGTTACAATTGTAGGTTCAAGTTACAATTGTATACAACTTATAAGTTCAAGTTACAATTGTAGGTTCAAGTTACAATTATAGAATAGAACTTACAAAAATCAAAGTTAGTTTTGGCTAAAATTTGTAAAATTTTTGTTGGCCCTTCTACGCCTTCGTAGTTAGGATTGCGCGTTGCACGTTTTTCATCTAAAAATCTCAAAACTAGAAACTTCAAACTTCAAATTGCTTTTTTTACGGCTCCAATACGACCATTTTTTAACGAAGATACAGCTATCTAAAGTCGCGAAAAATTTGGAACTTTTTTTTTAATCCTTTAATTTTTTCTATTAGTGTAGAAGTTTTACATTGCTATTGGTTTCTTATGTGGAAACTACCAAATAATAAGAAATCAGACTTTTTAGTCTAGGTCAAAATTTTCAATAATGAAAAATGTAATATATTCTACATTTCACTTTATTATTAATATACATTTTACTCAAAATTTCATTTTGAAAAATTACTCTATTTTTTAAGATTGATGTTATTTATTAACAGAATATGCTTTATTGCAGCGGATTTGAAAAAAAAAAACAAAAAAAAACCGTTTTTTTCTAGGTTTTTCACATCTCTAATTTTAGAAGACTTATTTGTATTAATAATTTAAAACAATTTAAAAAAAATCCAGCCTCAGTTCAACTGAGAAACCTGAGACAGTTGTCACTTAACTTTTTCGTCTTGTAGTAGGTAGGTATGTATGTTGAACTTTTATTTGGACAAATTTATTAGTCAACTAAATAAGTATGATATATTTGATCCTTATTTTTTTTTACTTAAATTCAAAAGAAATAAATTATTATTCAAGGTGGTGTGCGACTTCTGGGAAATACAATCGAAAGAAACGGAACAAAATATATCTATTCAACACCCATTTGATTCCTTAACTATAATCAGTGGGCTAAAGTTAAAAAGTGAGGTTAAAAATGCTTGACAGCTGTCAGATAAATTCCTTGTGGTAGTTAAATAAAATATTGTGCTCGACTATTGGTGAAGAGGAGATTCCACTTGGATTGTACCGCACTCGCTTCTCTCGATTTTTAGTTACCTATTTATTCAAGGAAATCCATCCAGTCATAAAGAATTAAACGATAAAAGTCAGTAATACTTGAAATAACAATGATCCAAGTTACCCAAGATTATGAGTCAACACGGACAAGGTTTCTATAAATATTTATGCTATGAACAAAGTGGAATGATAATTATTTATCACTGATAAAGTTTCAGTCAATACAGTGAATAAACTGAATAAAGAAGATACGTGTATTAATACCGAATCGTGTTAAAGGTTTCTACATAAAACATAATCCAAAAATAGAAACAAGGCCTGCTGATTGTCACCTTTTTAACAGTCTCAAAATATTTAATTAAATTTATCCAATAGGTACATAATTTAATTTATCTTAACTGATTTTACTTTTACTAACAAGTTAAAATGTACCTACCTATTTTAATTTGAGAACTAAAGTTTAGATGTAAAGTTTAAGGCTGAAAATAGACTTCACATAAACATTTAAAAGGCAATAGCACCCTGTTTTTAATAAGGTAAAAGCAGTCAATATCCAGAAATAACTAGCGTTTAGTGGATATTCTGGAATTATTATAACTACTGTAGGTAACCTACACCGTTCAAAATAAAAGTGTTTTTGTTTACCATTTAAATATAGGTACCTACCTAAACAATTTAAAAATAACGGGTCTTTGTTAACGCTTATTTTATTAAATAATTTTTTTGGAGGAATTGTACTGAATATAATAATAATTAAGTTTTTACTATTGTTTCATTGTAAGTGGGATAAAATGGCATTAAAATGGATTATACAGAATTAACCTAAAAAGACTGCAGTGGGCGTGATTGACAATTGTTATTTAGCAACAATCTGCAGGTGAATTTGTTGCTAGAAACCAATGTTGCACGTATGACATAAACAAACGAGGCGAAATTGAGCAATTTTTTGGTTAAAAATAACACGGTAGGGTCTGAAAAATGAAGCTATGGTATGAGCAATGCCAAGACTATCGATTTGGGAAAAACTGTGAGGTTAACAGCACGAGGCCGCGTCAAGTTAGCTGTGCCTTTATGAGAAATCGGGGGTGCGGCGATTAAAACAATTTAATTAAGCCTCAACTTACCCGAATGGACGGTGCTAATGAAAAATAGAAAATTGCAAGTAAAACACAACACTAAATACTTCATTGCTAAGGAGTTTTTTCGCAGATATTCTATACTATAACATTAACGACACGTATATTTGACACGGTACACACCACACACGCACTCCTATCTCGTACGCTCGCTCATTTAATTCACTCAAAAATGGACAATATAAAATGGCGATAATCGTCCAAAGAAAGTCACGAGCTGCTAGTTTACGTAATCGCCGACAGTGTCGTGACGTCATCGGTCATGCGCACGCGATCTGGGCCAGCTGGATTTCAAATCGGACACAGCCCGCCAGCTCGTGACGTACGGAGGAGCTACAGCGAGGGCGGCGTTGCCACGTTGACGTTTGCTTAACTTAATCGAATATTTATGGGGAATCGAATATCGTAAATCATTTATTAGCGATAATGTAATGAAAAAACACGATAAACCAAGATATAATCAACGTTTATAGATATTGCAAGGCAGTTAACATGGAAATATGTAGATTACCTACATTTACGTTGAAAATTAGGACTATAAAATGGAACTATACCTAGGTAATTGACAAAAAAAAGAATTCCTTAAAAATTCTTTTAAAAATATTAAACTATTTTATAGATTTAACAAGAAAGTAAAAATAGTTAATTTTAGGAGTCAACAGCATACCTATTAAATAAAGATTTTTCCTCCTGGATGTGCTGTTATCCTGGCTAAGGATTCCAAAGGATAACTTACCTGCTGTTACTTAGGACCGAGTTTAATTTGTATTTTGGATAAAATACCTGGTAGTTTTTTTTTTAATTTAATTTTTTTTATAAAATTTTAGTAAAACAAATTGTTTTTCTGTATAAGACTTTTTTGAAATAATATTAAATTAATCGCTTTTTTTAAATTGCCAAAACGTGCATTATTATTTAAATAATAATTTTTCAAATCATTATGTAAAAAACGGTCATTTATATTTTAAATACTTACATATATTTTATTGCATATTTAAATGTTATGTTTTGTTTGTTGTATGTATGTATGTTTTTTAATAAGTAGGTAGATATCCGCAAAAAAATTGTTAGTCAAACCAAACTGCATAATTAGTTTTTGTAAAAATCTACTTTTATAGTTTTTTTATAGTTTTAGTAAATATTTTTATTTTTTTTATAATTCAACCTATTTATTTACGGGGTGGTTTCATGAAAACACCTCTATAATTGAAGAGAATAAGAACAGTACAAGTCCAAAAATTTAATTTTTTTAAAATCAATTTTATAAGATACATTTTTGTGAGAAGATTTAAATTATTTTACAGAATTTGAACATTATACACTCACAGGCAAAATAATCGATCCACACAAATTTTCGATGAATTTCAATCGCAAATAACTTTTTTATTAGAGGTCGGATTTAAACGAATATTGTGGATAAATTAATGGATAATCGCTCACATTTAAAAAAATTACTAAAAAATAGACGTTCGTTTATAATATACAGGTTTAAACAAAAATATGTTTTTTACCATAAGTTTAAGACACTCTGTAGAGTGACAAAACCGTATATTGTTCTAAATTAAGTTTTATTTATCAAGTCACATCTATTCTTAACAGTTTTGTTTTTGGTTTACCTCGATATATTTATTTTTGTGGAAAATATGGATTTTTTTAAAAAAACATTGCAATTTCCAATATTTTTCTGTATGAAGAACTAAGGTTGCTATGGTCCATCCATAGGCTATGGAGAATGACAGTGACAGTTTTGTTGAATCATCCCATACTTGGACATGTCATACTATTAGTCGGAGACATTTTTAAAAGTAAGAAGACACCTTAAAATTAACACATTAATTTGCAAAAAACAATTTGATAGCTTTTGAAAGCTGTATGTGACATGTCCAAGTATGGGATGATTAAAAAAAACTGTCACTGTCATCCTCCATAGGCTATGTATGGACCATAGCAACCTAGTTCTTCATACAGGAAAAATATTGGAAATTGCAATGTTTTTTTTAAAAAGTCCATATTTTCCACAAAAATAAATATACCTATCAAGGTGAACCAAAAACAAAACTGTTAAAAATAGATGTGACTTGATAATTAAAACTTAATTTAGAACAATATACGGTTTTGCCACTCTACAGAGTGTCTTAAACTTATGGTAAAAAACATCTTTTTGTTTAAACCTTTATATTATAAACGTACACAGAGAAAAGTAATCTCTTGATTTTACTATATCTGTCTTGACTCAAATAAATTATTTATTTCGATATGATACAAGAAGATATTTATTTAGTGGAAAACTTGGGTTTATTTGACTTTTTAAACTGATGGTTTGTTTAATACAAGTAAATATTTAGTTGACTTATTATCTTACTTAAAGAAACAAAACATTTACTTGTATCAATTCTATTATTTTGTTAAAATAAGATATTATATGCTTGTATTAACATTTGATAAAACTAAATCCCTACAACCTATATCCAAACAATTTAATTAATTGCTCTAAATAAATATTTCTTTACAATTAATCACAACAATAAGTTGTTTTCAAGAAACTCATGATTTACAACCAAATAATAGTATTTTCTTATTGTACACAAGAAGTTACTACGAATAAGACAATTTTACTTCATACAAGAAAAACTGTTTCAAATAAATGCATTTTCTTAAATCAAGAGATTACTTTTCTCTGTGTACGTGTATTTTTTAGTAATTTTTAAAAAGTTATTTGCGATTGAAATTCATCGAAAATTTGTGTGAATCGATTATTTTGCCTGTGAGTGTATTTTATAAATTTTAAAATATTCCCGCAAAAATGCATTTAGAACTATAAAACTGATTTTTTGAAATATTTTGTCAAAATTTTGACTTTTGGACTTGCACTGTTCTTAATCTCACCGATCCAATTATATAAGGATGTATAATTAACGTGCTAGGTATTTTTGAATTTTTTTCACGATAGTCCCAAATCGGTTCAAAATAAATTTCTGCCGAGTTTCAGCTTAATATTAAAGGCCCCCACGCAGGGGCGGATCCAGAGAAAATTTTTGTAGGGGACAACATAAAAAACCCAAGCACTATGTATAGATTTTTTTGCTTTTCTTTGCAATTAAAAAAATATTTCTTTAGAAATTTTTATTCATTTTATTGAATTCGAAGATTTTGTTTATCAATTAAGCTCTTCTTTGCAATTAAAAAAAATATTTCTTTAGAAATTTTTATGCATTTTATTGAATTCGAAGATTTTGTTTATCAATTAAGTACTAGTAAAAAAAATCTTGCAAACATTCTGTGGGGGGACATGTACACATTAAATTTGACACAAATATATTTATTTACTAAGTTATAATTTTTTTTTACTTCTAGATTCTGTTTTGCCACTTTTGACCTTTTATATTTGGCATTATTTTCAAAGTAAACCCTTTATTTGACTGGGCTAAATAGCAGAAAATTAAAAAAAAATTAAATCTGTAAAAAAGTAAGAAAAAAATGTTTTATATCATATAAGTAACTAAATTTGTGAGAAATTTTAATTTTTCAATAAATATATTTTTTTTGCAATTGGACGGCTTTCTGCAGAATGGGACCAACCCACACCATGATGAAACTGAGAAAAAAGCTATCAAAGATTTTAATAATTTTAAAATTACCTGTTAATTTTATGCCGATTTTGGACTTACGGAGGTTTAAGGGATATAATTTAATAATTTCATCAGGTGGATTTTGTGATGTTATGTGTAAGGGTGACGAAAAAAATGGGCTTTTGTTGGTTGGTTCCTTTCTGCAATTTATGAAAACTACTATCTGATGTATGTATGTATTTAAAGAAAAGCGACAATTATTTATTTCCAAACAAAATACAACTGATATTACTATTATAATGGTAATATGAATTAATTTTGATTTTATTTGAAATTCGTCCACATCATCTTCCAACCCCACCTCATCTTGTAACTACCAAAAAAATGCATCAAGACTTTATATTTTGCAGAAGCAGGAAATCTTTAAAGACTTTGGTAGTGGGTCTACCAGCCTGCTTTTTTACAAAAAAGATCCAACCCACTTGCAAATATTCTACAGATTCTAATTCTGGATTAGTAATCCACACTATTATTGAATGTTGGTTGGTTCAATGATTAATAGATTTCACTACACTTGCATTTTGGCTATGACCTATTTTGCAGATAAATTATACATACTTAATTAGTTCATAGGCTAAATATCTCGATTTTTTTGGTTTTGTGGGTTGGTTCCTTTCTGCAGAAAGGCGTCCAATTATTAAGTACCAATGTTGTAAAAATTTAAATTTTGATTTAAAAAAAACATATTTTCCCCCTTTGTAAACTTTGACTGCCGTGGGGGACAGGTTAAAATTAATATAAGGGTCTGATTTTTTTTATTTGAAACACATTCAAATACCTCAAATAGGGACCACAAAATTTAAAGAGATATAAATTTAAAAAAAATTAAGGTCACTCAAGATCTTAAATAATCCAAAATGCCATGGCAGAAAATTATTTTTTTCGTCATATTTATATTTTCTAAAAACTCAAATTTTAGAGGTCGTTGGGTTTTCTTTAATACTATATATATCTACAATACACTTCATTCTTTAAAAATTAATGTATTGTCTTGAAATTTTTATAAATAATTTAAAATTTTAGTTTTAAGAGCAGAAATTTATTATTTATTTTAAACCACCCTAAGGACCACCCTAATGTCATTAGACAAAAATTCAATTTCTTATAATTTCGTATTTTTTTTGATCGAGGTGAATTTTGGCGACTATTTTAAAACATGTTAAACTAACATATTTTTAAGCGAAATCAAAGAAAAAATAGTATGCAACTCGTTTAATTAAGCACTCGCTCGCAAGTGGCGTTTATAAAACTTAATACATAACATATAGTATATACTATTATTTAATAATAGGTATTTACAAAATTTAATAATTTATCATTTTGCTATTTCGGACAGTAAACTTTTGACCTAAAAATAAAATAAAATACACATAAGATTTCTTTTAATTTTTCAAATAGACATATTCTGAAACAACTATCAAGTTCATTGAACAAATCAAAGATGTCAATCATGTTTAAAGGAAATTGGAATCGGTTCAAAATGTTTTAGAAGTTCCCCGATAGATGGCATTAAAAGTACTGATTTTCACGGTTTTCCACTCCTGTTTATTCTGTTATCCTGGCTAAGGATTCCCTGGGAAAACCTACCTGTTATACGTAAGAAATACCTCTGCTAACTAAAGGACTTTTGAAAAGTCATTA